TCGATGACATGACCATGGGGATGCTACAATGGTCGTTAAATGTGAAAAATGGTCATAAGTCACTTTTTTCAGTGCCGGTGTGACTTCAACCATCATACTCTTATAAGTCAAGGATGAGCTGTAGATGGACAAACTGTGGCCCTAATGCCATTTTTAGCTCTAGGTGTCACTGCACTAATAGCAATAGCACTTATATACCGCCTAACAGTACTTTACAGCCCTCTCTAAGCGGTTTACAGAATCAGCACATTGCCCCCCAAAAATCTGGGTCCTCATTTTACCCACCTCAGAAGGATGGAAGGCTGAGTTGACCTTAAGCCTGGTGAGATTCAAACTGCCAAATTGCAGGCAGCCGGCAGGCAGCAGAAATAGCCTGCAGTACTGCATTCTAACCACTGCGCCACCGTGACTCAATCCCAACATCTTGCTGAATGAATAAGAGAACTGGAGGGGAGTTTAAATGAACTTGAGGAAGGGATAATGGAGGTAGGGTGGGGGTTATCCAAACATCTCCAGACTAGCTTGCAGTTTTCAGTACGTTATTCTTGAGAAAGTCTTCTACTTCAGCTTTCCTGTGGGATGTAGCAACTACATTTTAGCAACTACATTTTCATTGTGATATTTCTTCAGCCTTGGGAGATACCAGATCTTGCCTTGGGAGGTAGTAATATTTAAAGAAGCTGAACAGGAACAGGAAAGCAGATAGGAACTAAGCTTGTCAGCTGGAAAGCTGACAGGAACAGGAGCTCACCCTGTTGCGAAGTGCTCGGGTCTTGAACCAAGGCTGTCAGCTTTAATCCCATTGCGAAGTGCTCGGGTTTCGAACCAGTTCGAGACCTGAGCCACTTCGCAATAGGGTGAGCTCCCATGCCTTGCTCCACCTCCTTGTCCACCTAGCAGTTTGAAAGCATGCAAATGCAAGTAGGTAAATAGGTATCACTTTGACGGGACGTTAACAGTGTTCCATGCATCTTTGGCATATAGTTATGCTGGCCACAGAACTACAGAAATTGTCTTTGGACAATTCTAGCTCCCTCGGCCAAGAAATGGAGATCATCGCTGTACCTCAGAGTCAGGACATGACTTGAACAAGGAAATCTTTATCTTTTCAAGGTGAAATTGAAGGTTGACTCAGCCTTCCATCCTTTCTAAGGTAGGTAAATTGAGGACCCAGTTTGTGGGGGCAATAAACTGACTTTGTATAAATATACAAAAGTATGAAGGCTATTGCTTAATGCACTGTAAGCCGCCCTGAGTCTCTGGAGAAGGGCGGCATATAAATCAAATTAAATATATATATATATATTTAGCCTCTTTGTTGGGATGGCAACTGGAAGAGGCTGGAGGTTATTTAGAGGTGATTTCCTCTTTCGGTTCTTGTTGCTCTCTGGATTTGGTTGTTTTCTTGCAGACATTTCCTTACCCAACTTGGTAACATCATTGTAGCATCATGATAGCAATAGCAACAGCACTTAGACTTATATACTGCTTCACAGTGTTTTACAGTCCTCTCTAAGAGGTTTACAGAGTCAGCCTATTGCCCCCAACAATCTGAGTCCTCATTTTTACTGACCTCGGAAGGACGGAAGGCTGAATCAACCTTGAGCCTGGTGAGATTCGAACTGTCAAATTGCAGGCAGCTGGCAGGCAGCAGAAGTGGCCCGCAGTACTGCATTTTATGCTACTACAGCTCTTATGATGATGTTACCTACTTGGGTAATGAAACGTTTGCAAAAAGAACAATCAAGGTCGGAGAGCATCAAGGACTCTCAGTTCAACTCTGAGCTTTAAATATTGTCTTGTATTGGTATTTTCTCTCTATTTGCAGAAGGAGAAAATGAAAAGTTTGCAAAGTGAACTTGGTGGAACATTTGTGTTTGTCTCTAGGTTGAAATCTTTCCTTCTCTTTTAATAGAACCAGGTACCCAATTTAATATTTCTCAAGCTTGCTTTTCCCCAGCTTCAAAATATGTTTCATTCTTACCTCCTATAATATAAGCCCTGGTGGTTGGAATGTAATATTGCAGGCTGAATTCTGCCCACAGCCTGCAGTTCAATCCTGACAGGATTGATGAAATTGACTCATCCTTCCATCCTTCCGAGGTCTGCAAAATGAGGATCCAGATTGTTGGAGGAAATATGCTGATTCTGTAAACCGCTTAGAGAGGGCTGTAGTACTGTGAAGTGGTATATAAGTCTAAGTGCTATTGCTATATCTATCTGTATTCAAAGTATTAAAAGCCCTTGACTCATTGGGGGAGCTGTCAAATATTTCATTCTTTAAAGAAGTTAAGGCACAATATTTGGACATAAAGAGGAGCCCTGGTGGCACAGTCAGTGGTTAGAATGAAGTATTTATTCGAGGCTGACTCTGCTGACTGCCAGCAGTTCAATCCTGACCGGCTCAAGGTTGACTCAGCCTTCCATCTTTCCAAGGTTGGTAAAACGAGGACTCAGATACTCGGGGGAAATATGCTGACTCTGTAAACTGCTTAGAGAGGGCTGTAAAGCAACGTAAAGTGGTATATAAGTCTAAGTGCTATTGCTATTGCTGTAATTGTGGCACGTAGTAGGAGATCCCATTGCAGTTGTGTGTTGCCAAATCCTTCTTCTACCTGCTGCCGTTTTCTATTGAATGATTGAAGCAGTGAACAGAACTGTCGAAGATCTTCTATTGTCCCTGTCTAAAAAGTCAAAGAAATTTTGAGTATGTGCCATTCAGTCTGTCTTTCCAGATTTAAAAAAAATGCCTCAAAGCCAGCTTCAATTCATAAGAATTACTGCAGTTGCCAGGAGTGCATTTAACAGAGAACTGTTTACGGAAATGTATTGGGCGTTACAAAAATATATTGTCATGAACAGAAACTTTAAATAAAGCAACCTATATTTTTTCCCCCCAAGTTGTTATGATCAGGAAAACATTTGTGGCTTTGCAAGAAACTGCAATTTTGGAACACTGCTGGAATATTAAGTAGGAAGCAGCTAGAGTTTTGCTTTTAAGAAAACCTGGAAATTTTACAGAACCATTTATGCAACCTTATTTCTATAAAAGAAAACAAGTGGTCCTCAACATAAGAACAAAATTGAGCCCAAAATTTCCATTGCTAAGCAAGACAATGTTGTTAAGGAAGTTTTGCCCATCAGCATATTGCCCCCCAACAATCTGGGTCCTCATTTTTACCCACCTCGGAAGACCGGAAGGCTGAGTCAACCTTGAGCCTGGTGAGATTTGAACTGCCAAATTGCAGTCAGCAGAAGTAACCTGCAGTACTGCATCTAACCACTGTGCCACCACAGTTCTTAATAATATTGAAATAAAAGGTGATTGCTATGTAATATGACAAACTGGGTATATGAAAACAGTGGTGGGTTGCTACCGGTTCGTCCCGGATTGGGCAAACTGGTAGCAGCGGTGGTGGGAGGCTCTGCCCACCCACCTGGACATCTGCGCATGCGTAGGAGCTTCTGCGTGCACACGCGAGTGAACCAGTAGCAACGGGATTTGAATCCCACTACTGTATGAAAGTGATATAAGGCATTTGTTTGACGGGACTACCTGGCTCCTCATATCTAATGAATCCTGAATCCATCCCAACTCTTTATAATTTTACCTAATTTTCCCCCCTCTCTAAAAAATTTGAGGGGGTTCAAAAAAGAAGGTGAGTCAGAATGTCTCTGTTCAATTCCTATGTTCCAACCCCGAACCCCAATTGCCGATTGATCATTGTTATGACTTCAAAACTCCATAATACATGTGAATATTCTCATCATCACTCGATGGTTCATTTCCCCAGCTATTATGGCTTAGGAAGAAGAACCTGGAGATTATCCAGCATCCAAGTCATGGTTGTCTCAAAGGCGTTTTTTTTTCCCCCAAAAGGCAACTGGACTTCCTTGTTTTGTTTGTTTTTCTTTGAAACTGTTTCACTTCTCATCCAAGAAGCTTCTTCCATTTCAGAAGAACAAAAGCATAACAATTAAAGTATTGAAGCAGGCAAGAGATGATGGATAGATGATTTTTCATTTTTGGTGTTGTTTTGATTGCCTTCCTTTTCCTCTGTCTTTCCTTTCTTTTTCTTTTGTAGGCAGGTGACATGATTAGCAGTTAGGTTGGATAGAAAGAAAATGTTTTTTTAACAAAGGATGATATGATTAAAAGTCAGAATAAGAGATAGAAATAAGAGAAAAGGGGAATATTAGTGTATACAGTTTGATATAACAAAATAAGAATAATAAAAAGAGAAAATATAGAATAATTGAATAATAAAAGATTGCAACTTTATATAAATATGGATCACTATTAGAAATATATAAATTGGATTGAAAGTAATTAACTATGACTAATGCTATTAGTTTTATTTGTATCAGAATGTATGATGCCCAGGCGCCACGTTGTTTACGCATTGATATGTCTGTAAAAAAAATAAATTAAAAAAACTTTTAAAAAAAGAAGAAGCAGCTTCTTGAATGAAAAGTGAAATGCTTTCATAGGAAAAAAAAAAAAACCAAGAAGCCTTTTGCAACAAGAATATGTAGCTCATATTCTGTCAACCAACTATAAGCCATAGTATGCAACGTAATACGCACCAGTGGTGAAATCCAAATTTTTTTTACTACCGGTTCTGTGGGCGTGGCTTGGTGGGCGTGGTGTGGCTTGGTGGGCGTGGCAGGGGAAGGATACTGCAAAATCCCCATTCCCTCCCCACTCTGGGGCCAGCCAGAGGTGGTATTTGCCGGTTCTCCGAACTACTCAAAATTTCCGCTACAGGTTCTCCGAACTACTCAAAATTTCCGCTACAGGTTCTCCGAACTGCTCAAAATGTCCGCTACTGGTTCTCCAGAACCTGTCAGAACCTGCTGGATTTCACCCCTGATATGCACCATTCAGACAACGCAAGCATACATTAAAAAAGAAAACCATTATCCTTTCATCATTACTCAACCAACTAAGTTGCAGATACAAAGGAGACCAGAAAGTCAGCTCTGGAATGACCATTGGACAGTTTTCAGGGACTTTAATTTCAATTAGCACCTTAAAATAACTTTTGGATTCATAAGTCAAGGTCAATGGTAATCCAGCAGATGTGCGATCGCCTGGTCTTCTCTCAAAATTTAACATGGAGTGGCATCAGGAAGGAGAGCCAGTCCATAGTGCCATGGGGATTGTAAGGGTTTCTGACCTGTTTTGAAATCCACCAGTGAGGCTTGATGCAAGAATCACACACAATGACAGCTATTTTGTAGAGGAGGAGGAATATGGAGTAGGAAAATGTTATGTAAACAGGAACACTGCCCAACAACTTTGGAAATCCTCAAAGGATGATCATCACAGATGTCTATGGGGATTCTCAGTCCTCCAGGTCACGGCTGTCCCAATGATGCTTTTTCAAATGGCAACTGGACTTTGTTTTGCCTTGAATATGTTTCACTTCTCATCCAAGAAGCTTCTTCAATTCTGACTGAATGGCTTTGTCACCTTCTGACTGTGTTGTAAACAGGATACGACACCATCTATCTCCTGTTTGCAACACAGTCCTTTCAGCAGCTCCAGGAAGGCTCCACACCCACTTGTACTGTTCAGATGACCCAGATAAGCCTCCAAGTGGCCTCAGCGATTCTCAGAGGGAGTACTAACAACCAGATGACCGCAAGGAATATGAATCCTTCCATCCTCCACCATTCAGTCAGCTTTGAAGAAGCTTCTCAAATGAGAAAGCAAAATGTCTTCAAGGAAAAACGAAGTCCAGTTGCCTTTTGAAAGAGCACTTTTGGGACATGCCAACACGGATTTTCTTCTTCATCACAAAGTTAGCGTTAGGTGTCAGCGCCAGGATGGTTTTATAAGTGTGACTGATACGTAAGGTGTGGATAATTTTCATCCTCCATGAGTAAAGGCTGGGTCTCTTCCATGTTTCTTTTCTTCTTTCGAGTCCCTAGTGTGATGAGTCCTTTGATCGCCATTGCTATTATGGCACCAATCACAGCAGCTCCGAGTAACCATGGCCAGATCTGACGAGCTTGTTCCAAGTAAGGGGTGAGGAAAGTCTGAAAAGGAGAGGCTGTAAAAACGGAAAGATAAAAAGAATATGTCTTTTATTTCACATGAAGTACTCTTGTCTGGAATCAGAACCTGATCAAAAATCTGGTGAGTTATATATGAGCCTATATGAATATGAGCTTATCTGTAAACTGTAAACTAGACTAGAAAGTTTTTTTTAAAAAATCCCAGAAATAATCAGTGGCCAAACATTTATTTACTGTAGTCAAGAAAACTACATAATGGAGTTTTCTTGACCACAGTACTACCTCTCACGAGATTCGATTGTCAACAGACCAGGAGCTAATACAAAAGATATACACATGCGCAGAAATGGACAAATTAACTTTAGAGTTACAGGATAAGGAGGACTCAAAATATTTTACAATATGGAATAGATGGTACCAGTGGATAAATCAGAGGAGGGGAAATGGGTAGAGATGAAATTTAGAAGAAATTAATATAATTAAAAATTGCACTGTCAGATAGATAGAAAATGAAATATGTCACTGTATGTTTGTATATATGTATATATAATAATAGAAATTAGTTAGTAGGTGAAGTTGTGTACTGTATATGTAAAGTTGTTTCTTGACTAAGAGAAACTTGTATGTTTTAAATCTTTTTAAGAATGAATAAAGTTTTGTTTTTAAAATTAAAAAAAAAAAAGAATGCTGGGCTGATGATTTGACAGGCTTGTGTTCGAGACCTGTTGCTGCCGTGGGATGGGGTGAACTCCCATCATGTGCTCCAGCTCCTGCCGACCCAGCGTTTTGAATGTGAGCAACTGTGAGTAGATAAATGTGTATCACTTTGCTGGGCAACTTAATGGGGACATGAAAGGAGCCCAGACTGGATGTCCTCCGGGCTACAGTGATGTCACCAGCAAATCCTTTCATCATGGAAGCACTTCCAACACAGAAGTATTAGTGATGAACAGAGCAACCTTTTTTCTATATGCAGGTAATCCTGGATTTATGACAATTTCCGTTGCTAAGTGAGACAATTGTTAAATGTGTTTTGCCCCCTTTTTTTGACCTTCCTTGCCACAGTTGTTAAGTGAATCACTGCCGCTGTTAAGTTGCTAACATGGCTGTTAAGTGAATCCGGCTTCCCCAGTGACTTTGCTTGTCAGAAGGTCGCAGAAGGTATGAACCAATGGTGGGTTGCTTCTGGTTCGCCCCGGATCGAGCAAACCGGTAGCGGTGGCGGCGGAAGTCTCCGCCCACCCACCCGGATGCTTCTGCACATGTGCAGCAGCATCACACGCACGAGTGAACCAGTAGCAACAGGTTTTGAAACCCACCCCCTGGTGTGAACACGTGACCTCCAGGACACCTCAACCGTCATCAATTTTCCCCATTGTCCATATGCTAAATATGAACCAGTTGCCAAGATTCCAAATTTTGATCACGTGACAAATAGGGATGCTGCAATGGTCATAAGAGTGAAAAACGGTCATCAGTCATTAATTGTAATTAATTAATTAGTCATTAATTGTAATTAATTAATTAGTCATTAATTGTAATTTTTAATTTTATTATATAAAATATAAAATACCAAAAAAAAAAAAAGAAGAAGAAGAAGAAGAAGAAGAAAATAAGAAATGAAGGGTGGGAAAGGGAACAGGAAAAGGGAGTGTGGAATACAAGGGGGAAGAGAAAAAGAAAAAGAAAGAAAAGGGGGCATTGACTTCCAACTCTTCCTAGCTCAGTGCAAGATACACACTCCAGCCTCAACTTTTTGCTTTTACACATTAATATATAACTAGCCATTTCTATAGCACCAAATCTTTCTAATCAACAAAACCAAGATCAACGTTTCATTTTTTTCTTCACAAGCACAAATTCCAGAAGTGATATCCAAATAAGAACACATTTTCCTCTTTAAATAAAAATAATCAATCTAACCATTCCTGCTTTATCTTCCTTGCTATGGAAATAATGTGTATTTCTATTGGCGCCTAGCAATCTTTATAAACTGTCATGAATTTTGATCACATGATAAATAGAAACGTTGCAAGGGTCGTAAGAATGAAAAACGGTCGTAAGTAACTTTTTCCAGTGCCATTGTAACTTTGAAAGCTCACTAAATGAACTGTTGTAAGTCGAGGACTAGCTGTGTATGAGACAATGCAAAGATAGGACCATCTCTGTCTCTCAGATGCTCTCTCTGGTCAACTTTCATTCAAGTACTATTTCTTCAAGGACCAACAGGTATGGACCTTCTTAACTCTTTGAGATCCATCAGTTGCTAGTTAGATGCCGCCACTTAATGAGAGTAGGTTAAAAAGGCAGAAAATAAAATGAATATTCCTCTGGTATATTGATGTAAGTAATTCAGAGTGGTGCGGTGGCCTAGAGGTGGAGCTCTCGCCTCACAATCAGGAGGCTGTGAGTTCGATCCTAGGTAGAGGCAGATATTTCTCTCTCTGGGCACATTGAGAATATATCTGCTGAATAAAACTCCGTATTGGCGTCAGGAAGGGCATCCAGCCAGTAAACACTCAGCTCCATTCAGTTGCCCAGACTCCACCCCACCAGGGCTTATGGGGCTGTTAAAAGAGGATGATTGATGTAAGTAAGTATTGAAGAGCCTGGTGGCACAGCAGACTAATAGCCTGTTATTATCATCCAGCTGCCTGCAATTACTGCTAGTTCGAATCTCCCCAGGCTCAAGGTTGACTCAGCCTTCCATCCTTTCTAAGGTAGGTAAATTGAGGACCCAGTTTGTGGGGGCAATAAGCTGACTTTGTATAAATATACAAAAGGCTATTGCTTAACGCATTGTAAACCGCCCTGAGTCTCCGGAGAAGGGCGGAGTCTCCGGAGAAGGGCAGCATATAAATCAAATTAAAAAAAAAAAAAGTAATTCAGGCTAGCTATATGGCCAATCAAGCATAGTTAAAAGATAATGGGGTAGAGAGCTGGGGGAAGATTTGAATCAATGCCAATCCATCTCGATCAAGTCAGGAGCTAAAATCCTCAACTTTCAGGAAGCAATTTAATTTCTGAGGGAGTAATAAGGTGAAACTGAGGAAATTGTTACCGTTTGCAAAAAACCGGACGCACGGAACAGGGTTTCAGGATGCCAAAAATGGCTATATTCGTGTATAAGATGCACTAACATTTCCACCCTCTTTTTGGGAGTGGGGGGAAAGTGCGTGTTATACTCCAACAAGTACGGTAATTCTTTTAGAAAATCTAAACCTGCCAGAAATAGTCCCTTTGCTGTGGATTTTTTTTAAAAAAAATGGGTCTGGGAAACTGCATGAATCCAAAGATTGCCATTCTTACCATAAAATGTCATTTATCAATCAAAGACTTTTCCCACTAAATCTAACCAAAGTCACCTCCATCACGTCCCTGCGTGCATTTCTGGTCTGAACTCTCCTGCTGAGAGGTACCTGTTCCAATAGTCTTGAAAGGAAATCATAATTACTTTTCCAAAGATTGACTGTTTCTGCGAATAATTAAGTCAATGCAGATAACAGTTGTAATAAGCTACAGCATATTATCCGTAGGATGAGGGGACAGGCGCAGCGAAGGGGGGAAAAAATCTCTTCCTTCCTCTTCTCTATCTTTCTCTTTTCAATTACTTTTATTCTCCTTTCCCCGTGACCTCCCCCAAAATTGCCTAGGGCTAAAATTTTCTTTTTCTAATCACTTCTCTTAATTTGACGTTTTAATTTTGTTTCCAGTCACACATTATTGGTATTTAAACACATATATCTCAAGAGGGCAGTTCCTGTGGGCTTTCAACGCTTAATTAATGCCAATTGGTCAACCGTCATCATTGTTTCATTGGAACTAAATAGAGTTTTTTTTTTCAGAGCCACCGGATCGGATCCCCAAAACAACACTTTAGAAGGAGCTCGTTTTGTAGCATTCTGTGTGGTGGTTGATTAAACTGCATTTTTTAAAGGAAAAACTTTGGCTCGCTTCTTCTTGAAGAGTATACACAATTCTACACAGAGATTCACAGGTTCGTGTCATAGAAATTAGAATAGAATAACAGAGTTGGAAGGGACCTTGGAGGTTAATTGTTCTAACTGTCAGGAAATTTCTCCTTAGTTCTAAGTTGCTTCTCTCCTTGATTAGTTTCCACCCATTGCTTCTTGTCCTGCCCTCAGGGGCTTTGGAGAATAGCTTGACTCCCTCTTCTTTGGTGAAGCCCCTGAGATATTGGAACACTGCAATCATGTCTCCCCTAGTCCTTCTTTTCATTAAACTAGACATACCCAGTTCCTGCAACCATTCTTCATCTGTTTTAGCCTCCAGTCTCCCAATCATCTTCGTTGCTCTTCTCTGCACTCTTTCTAGAGTCTCCACATCTTTTTTACATCATGGTGACCAAAACTGGATGCAATATTCCAAGTGTGGCCTTACCAAGGCATTATAAAGTGGTATTAACACTTCACATAATCTTGATTCTATCCCTCTGTTTATGCAGCCTAAGAACTGTGTTGGCTTTTTTTGGCTGCTGCCACACATGGCTGGCTCATATTTAAATGATTGTCCACTAGGACTCCAAAATCCCTCACACAATTACTATTATTGAGCAAATACCACATATACTTTGCTCAATAATAGTAATTGTGTGAGGGATTTTGGAGTCCTAGTGGACAATCATTTAAATATGAGTATAAAATGTATAATATTTTTTTAGTCAGGGTTTTTTCCTATGTAGATCAAGTTGTTTACATGGCCATAGTGGGGTGATATCTCAAATCACCACTTTCAGGCTTTGTCAGACATCTTGTGTTGTTTGTTCTGAGACTTATGGGAGACTGGGATAGCACTATTTCTGTCTTTTTGGACTTCATCGGCCAGCCACACCTATATTTTATGACTCCTCCCTGTAAAGGTCAAATATTTATTCTTTTAATTCATAGGTTCAAATGTATAATACTTTTTTTAGTCAGGGTTTTTTCTTATGTAGATCAAGTTGTTTACATGGCCATAGTGGGGTGATTTACAGGGAGGAGTCATAAAATATGGGTGTGGCTGGCCGATGAAGTCCAAAAAGACAGAAATAGTGCTATCCCAGTCTCCCATAAGTCTCAGAACAAACAACACAACATGTCTGACAAAGCCTGAAAGTGGTGATTTGAGATATCACCCCACTATGGCCATGTAAACAAAAACCCTGTCTAAAAAGTATTATATATATATATATATATATATACACACACCACATATACTGTACCTGTGCATTTTGTGCACAGGTATATACCAATGGTGATTTTTTTTAACTACCAGTTCTGTGGGCGTGGCTTGGTGGGCGTGAGTGGCTGGGCATGACTGGGTGGTCATGTGAGTGGCTGGGCATGGCCAACTCAATGTCACTCCCACATGACCCCCCCCCCAGCCACATCTGTCCAGGTTTTGTGGCTCCCAGTGTTTTCTGTGGGAAATGGGTCATGTGACTGAGTGGGCATGGCCAACTTGATTAGTCTCACCCTTAGGAAATTTCTCCTTAGTCCAACTCACAATAAATAGCAAAATAAAATAGCACTGTTCCAATATTTAGAATAGAATAAAATAACAGAGTTGGAAAGGACCTTGGGAACCCTACACCACTTCAGACAAATGGTTATCCAACATCTTCTTAAAAACTTCCAGTGTTGGAGCATTCACAACCTCTGGAGGCAAGTCGTTCCACTGATTAATTGTTCTGTCGGAAATTTGAGGGCCTCCTACAAAAATGAGGGAGTTAATCTATTTTCCAAAGCATCAAAAGGCACAAAAGAAACAATGGATGGAAACTAACCAAAGAGAGAAGCAACCTAGGACTAAGGAGTAATTTCCTAAGGGTGAGACCAATTAACCAATGGAATAGCTTGCCTTCAGAAGTTGTGGGTGCTCCATCACTAGAGGCTTTCAAAAAGAGTGAGGGAAGTACACCCCAAAAGGAATCCCTAGATGGGTGATTGATGGATTTCCCTGCCCTAATCCTGTCAGTTTCTGTTGTTTATTGACTTGAGACAGCATGTATTGGCTGCATTCCAGCTGCTGTTAAGTGGAGCTATTAACTGAAGGGAGAGAGCGAGGGGAAAAAAAAAATCTCTCTTGCACTTTATTTTTAACCGGTTCTCTGAACTGTCTAAGAAAATTACTAACGGTTCGGACGAACCGGTGAGAACCGCTGGATTTCACCTGTGGTATACATATATGTGCACATCGGTTTGGTGTTATTATCAGGCAAAGAATCACAATCACACAGTAAGTTCCAGTTAAGCTGATTTATTGCTCATGCCCAAAGTAGCTAGTCAACTAATGGTCAGCACTAGGTGCTAGATAAGAGTTAACAGAATCCAAGAGAGATTAGATTTAGACCCTTTGTGGGAACTTAATGATTCTAGGCTGATTCCTCTCTTGATTCCAGCCCCAGGTTCTGCCGTCCTATTCCTACAGTTATTGAAATGAAGTTTGAACTTCTTCCTCCCTTCTATCTTCTCAAATTCTTATCCTATCAGACATCTAGATTTGGGCAAACCACAGTATATTGGATTGATTATTTAAAACCCAGCAATCTGGAGCAGTAGTGGTTTTTTCACTTACCTTCCTACCGGTTCGGAACTGTGACCGTGCGTGCGCGCACACTTTGCTGATGTGCAAAACCTCTGCTGATTTGCAGAACCTTGATGATGATGTCCAGGTGGGTGGACGGAGCCTCCCACTGCCTCCGCTACCAGTTTGCCTGAACCGGGGTGAACTGGTAGAAACCCACCAATGATCTGGAGCAGTGGTGGGTTTCAAAAGTTTTTACTACTGGTTCTGTGGGTGTGGCTTGGTGGGCATGGTATGGCTTGGTGGGTGTGGCTTGGTGGGCGTGGCAGGGGAAGGATACTGTAAAATCTCCATTCCTACCCCACTCCAGGGGAAGGATACTGTAAAATCTCCATTCCCTCCCCAATCCAGGGGAAAGTTACTGCAAAATTCCCATTTCCTCCCGATCAGCTGAGATTTAGGAGGCAGAGAATAGATGGGGGCGGGGCCAGTGTATTTACCAGTTCTCTGAACTACTCAAAATTTCCGCTACAGTTCTCCAGAACCGATCAGAACCTGTTGAAACCCACCTCTGATCTGGAGCCTATAGAAACCATGGTTTGGGAGCTGGAAAAAGGCAGCAGTGGGTTTACAGCTTGCTCTCAAACTAATTTAACATGTAAAGTTGGGAGAAATGGCACCGACGGAATGAAGAGAAAACTAGGACTTGTTAGCCAACCAGGGAAAAAAAATAATTCTACTTCAAGGAAACTTTACTTTTAAAAAGAAACAAACTGCATTTAGCTGAAGAGTGAGGTAGTTAAAGTGGAAGGTAGCGGAGGCCCTATATGGAATTGATTAGTACCTGACCTATTTGCTAAAAATACTGTAACTCTCTCTCTCCATTCCCCCAAGACAGAAGATTAAATGGTTTCCTGAAAAAGCGTTGGGCAGAGGATCAGTATGGTAGAATGCCTACTGGTGTCGGATGGGATGTGGTGGCGAGAGAGGGTGGGAGGAAAAGAGATTTAAACGTTACTGGGACTGAAACATTCCCTGTCATCCTTGGTAACTGGTCTCCGGGCTCTAGAAGGCATTTTTCTGCCAACGCTAAAATGCACTGTACAAAGTTTTGCAGCAGAGACAGGAATACAAATTTAGAGGTAACTCTTGGCTTGTATTTATCACCTTTGAAGAGCAGAGCAAGCAAACAGAATGCACACATACATAGGTAGTCCTCAACTTACAACAGTACGTTTAGTAACTGTTCAAAGCAGGGGTGAAATCCAGCAGGTTCTGACAGGTTCTGGAGAACCGGTAGCGGAAATTTTGAGTAGTTCGAGAGGACCGGCAAATGCCACCTCTGGTTGGCCCCAGAGTGGGTGGGAATGGAGATTTTTCAGTATCCTTCCCCCTGGAGTGGGGTGGGAATGGGGATTTTGCAGTATCTTTCCCCTGAAGTGGGGTGGGAATGGAGATTTTGCAATATCTTTTCCCTGCCATGCCCACCAAGCCATGGTGAACCATAACAAACGGTTGCTGGAATTGGGTATGTCTAGTTTAATGAAAAGAAGGACTAGGGGTGACATGATAGCAGTCTTCCAATATCTCAGGGGTTGCCACAAAGAAGAGGGAGTCAAGCTATTCTCCAAGGTACCTGAGGGCAGGACAAGAAGCAATGGGTGGAAACTAATCAAGGAGAGAAGCAACCTAGAACTAAGGAGAAATTTCCTGACAGTGAGAACAATTAATCAGTGGAACAACTTGCCTGCAGAAGTTGTAAATGCTCCAACACTGGAAGTTTTGAAGAAGACGTTGGATAACCATTTGTCTGAAGTGGTGTAGGGTTTCCTGCCTAAGCAGGGGTTTGGACTAGAAGACCTCCAAGGACCCTTCCAACTCTGTTATTCTATTCTATTCTATTCTATTCTATTCTATTCTATTCTATTCTATTCTATTCTATTCTATTCTATTCTATTCTATTCTATTCTATTCTATTCTATTCTAATTGGGTGTAAAACTGGAGGGAACCTAGAGCCAGTTTTCCACCAAGACTGTGCCAATTGGATATGTCCCAATAAAATATTATTTGAGGAATATGCCTGCCTCAGAGTTCTCATTGAAGGGGATGTATTACTTGGAAGCTTGACATCATGCTTATGACCATTGCTGTATCCCCACAATTATGTGATCAACATTCAGACACCTGGCATAAATTGTAAGTCACCTTTTTTAGGGAACTTCAAAAGTCACTCAGTGAACTGTTATATGTGGGGACTACATGTATTATTCTTCTCAATGGGATCTTATTTCTGAGGGTCCTGATGAGCCCATGAATCAAAATAAAGACTGGTACAAAAATGCATATTGCATTGCCTCTACTGATCCTCCTTAGAGTGAGGGATCAGATTACCTGGTTCCAGGAGATACTCGTAGTCGTAGCCCAATTCTTTGGATGAAATGAAGAATTCCCCATTCCTATAGAGAGGAATGAACGGGACCATGAAATATCCCCGGTTGTGTCCAATAGGAGCGTTGGCTTCGGGTAGGCCTGAAGCAGGGGTTTGTGTCTCCGGAGCCACTGTTCATAAATGCTGTGGAAGGAAAAGTTCGATATGAATATTTCAACAAAGGAAACAATGACGCTTTTCAAATCTAAAATAGGTAGAACGAATGTCCATGTGGTAGTTGGTCCTAGATAGATCCAGATGCAGGAGATCAACTGCAGGTTTCCATGAGAATGGTGAAAACACCTACCTGGACAGTCCACCGGAAGACCATTAGAATTCAGAAAATCTTGGGCACAGGTGGTCCTTGACATAACAACCTTGGTAGTACAGGGATTTAAGGCACCCTGTTATTAAGCTTATTAAGACCAGCTGCCTGCAATTACTGCAGGGTTCGAATCTCGCCAAGGCTCAAGGTTGACTCAGCCTTCCATCCTTTCTAAGGTAGGTGAAATGAGGACCAGATTGTGGGGGCAATAAGCTGACTTTGTATAAATATACAAAAGTATGAAGGCTATTGCTGAGCGCATTGTAAGCCGCCCTGAGTCTCCGGAGAAGGGCGGCATATAAATCAAATTAAAAAAAAAACAAAAACCTGTCAGCTAGCCTTCTGCTTACTGCCATAGAAAAAGGGGGAGGGATCAGTGGAGAATTTTTCATAGCAGCTTTGCAACTACGGCCTGGACTTTACTTCCCTCTCCAAGGCCATTTCTTCTAGCTTTGGTATGCAGTAGCCCTCTGGTTGCCTAGCTACAAGTGGGTTGGTCTGTACAGTTTGTTTCAAGTTGCTGTTTTTCGCGCGCTTTGCCTCAGAGCTTGCCTGGAACTTCTTGCTTTCGGTTCGTTCCTGGTAAAAGTACTTTTCGCTAAATCTATGGAGCCAAGGATTTTTCTTTCCTAGGAAATGGACGGAGGCAGCCCTGGCACAACCGTAACAGACCCTGTCTTAAGACCCTGATGGTTTAAAATCAGCTCAGTCATGTGAGTGACTCGATTTTATGACCTTTTTTGCAGTGGTCATCAAGTGAATATGGCACTCATAAAACTAACACAGTGCTCATTAAATGAATGCCATGATTGTTAAGCGGACTGTTTATTCACTATGGCATAGTTTTGCTGAAAATTGCAATTAAGTTGTGGTTTTCAGCAAAAACGTCCTGAGAGATGGTCATGTCTCATGGAGGCTCCAACTGGTCCAGAATGCGGCCGCGTGAGTAATAATGGGGCGACCCGTCGCTCCCATGTAACACCCCTCTTGCGCGAGCTGCACTGGCTCCTGGTGGTCTTCCGGGTGCGCTTCAAGGTGTTGGTTACCATCTTTAAAGCACTCCATGGCTTAGGACCTGGCTATCTACAAGACTGCATTCTGCCACCGATTGCCTCCCACCGACCGGTATGCTCACACAGAGATTGCCTCCTCAGGGTGCCGTCAGCCAAACAATGTAGACTGGCGACCCTCAGGGGGAGAGCCTTCTCTGTGGGGGCCCCTGCCCTCTGGAATGAATTACCCCCGGACATACGAAGGATCCCCGACCTCCGTGCCTTCCGTCGTGCAGTGAAGACCCTGTTATTCCAGCAAGCCGCTCTGATGGGATAAATGATTTTAATTTGGTTTTAATGGGGTTTTAAAATTGGTTTTTAAATGAGAATTTTAAATTCGGCCTATGATTTAATTATTTTAATCTGCTTTTAAATTCTATTTTGTACATTGCTTTTATTATGGCTGTTCACCGCCCTGAGTCCTTCGGGAGAAGGGCGGTATATAAATAAAATAAAATAAAATAAATAAATAAATAAAATGTGATCCTAGGGGTTCTGCAAATGGGCATAAATGTTGTGTTGCTGAGTGTTTGAGGTGTGATCATGTGTCTGCTGGGGAGGACATCATAACTTTGGAAGTGAGGGATAGCTCCCTTCTTCCAGGTATGTCATACCTTTGAATGTCACTAAACATTCAAATAAACTCTACAGATAGTCTTCAATTTACAGCCGTTTGTTTAGTGTCCATTTGAAGTTACGACGGCACGTAAAAAGTGACTTGTGATCATTTTTCACACTTAATTTACCATTGCAGCATCCCTGTGGTCACGTGATCAAAATTCAGACACCTAGCAAATGGCATGCATTTATGACGGTTGCAGTGTCCCCGGGATCATGTGATCCCCTTGTGTGACCTTCTGACAAGTAAGGTCCAAAGGGAAGCCAGATTAGAATAGAATAACAGAGTTGGAAGGGATCTTGAAGGTCTTCTAGTCCAACCCCCTGCTTAGGCAGGAAACCCTACACCACTTCAGGCAAATGGTTATCCAACATCTTCTTAAAAATTTCCAGTGTTGGAGCATTCACAACTTCTGGAGGCAAGTTGTTCCACTGATTAATTGTTCTAACTGTTGGGAAATTCCTCCTTAGTTCTAGGTTGCTTCTCTTCTTGATTAGTTTCCACCCATTGCTTCTTGTTCTACCCTCAGGTGCTTTGAAGAATAGCTTGACTTCCTCTTCTTTGTGGCAACCCCTGAGATAGTGGAACACTGCTATCATGTCCTTCTTTTCATTAAACTAGACCTACCCAGTTCCTGCAGCTGTTCTTCATATGTTTTAGCCTCCAGTCCCCTAATCATCTTTGTTGCTCTTCTCTGCACTCTTTCTAGAGTCTCCACATCTTTTTTACATCGTGGCGACCAAAACTGAATGCAGTATTCCAAGTGTGGCCTTACCAAGGCATTATAAATTGGTATTAACACTTCACGTGGTCTTGATTCTATCCCTCTGTTAATGCAGCCCAGAAATGTGTTGGGTTTTTTGGCAGCTGCTGCACACTGCAGGCTCATATTTAAACGATTGTCCACTAGGACTCCAAGATCCCTCTCACAGTTACTACTATTGAGCAAGGTACCACATATACAGTACCTGTGCATTTTGTTTTTCTTCCCTAAATGTAGAACCTTGTTTTTTTCACTGTTGAATTTCATTTTGTTAGATAGCGCCCAATGTTCAAGTCTGTCAAGATCCTTCTGTATCTTGAGCCTATCTTCTGGAGTGTTGGCTATTCCTGCCAGCTTGGTGTCATCTGCAAATTTGATGAGTTCCCCATCTATCCCCTCGTCCAAGTCATTGATGAAGATGTTGAAGAGCACTGGGCCTAAAACAGAGCCCTGGGGTACTAGCCCTGGGGTAAGTGAATCAACCTGAGGTAAATTCACTTAACAACCATGCTACTAACTTAACAACTGCAGTGATTCACTTAACAACCGTGGCATGAAAGGTCATAAAATGGGGCAAAACTCACTTAACAAACTATCTTGCTTAGCAATGGAAATTTTGGGCTCAGTTGTAGCTGTAAGTTGTATTGCTCTTAAATGGGAAGTTGCTGGACGTCTTAGTAAACTACATTTCTTTTTGTCTTAATAAATCTTATTAAAGTGACACTGGGAGATTGGTGGCTGGGAAAGAATTGCTTTTGGGCTGCGCCAAGGAACCTGACCAATCACCATGAATAATCATGAAAGCAAAATAAAGCAAGTCCAACAGAAACTCAAGAATTGCTTTAACTCTGCAGTTGAAAGCTAACAAAGAAACATCCTTAGGGACTTGCACCTTGAGGGCCCTAGTGAAAAGACCCTGTGGAAAGTGTTTTTCTGCAGGAAATCTAAATGGGAGGTTTAGATCATGCAAGAGAAGGTATAAAACTGTAAGGCAACTTGTTCAAATTTGGAAGGACTCTAACACAGTACCCTGAGTGTTATGGATTCTTGACTTTGTGAAGTGTTTGCTTACTTCTGGAGTTACACACAGGTAACAGTTTCGAAAATGAAAGGAGACAACCACTACACTTGCGTAAACATTCATGTTTTCTGCCTTGTGCAGATGAGTCCATCCACATGTTCAATAAATAGCAATAGCACTTAGATTTATATACCGCTTCATAGTGCTTTACAGCTCTCTCTAAGTGGTTTACAGAGTCAGCCTATTGCCCCCAACAATCTGGGTCCTCATTTTACCCACCACGGAAGGATGGAAGGCTGAGTCAACCTTGAGCCTTGGTGTTGTGGTCCGCCAACGGCCTGCAGAGCTGGTAGCAGAGGCGGACAGTGAGGAGGTTGGGGAGGAACATGGGCCAGTCCTGGAGTCTGGGGAAGGCTCGGATGAGGGCTCTGCATCGGAGGCAGAGATGGGGCCAGGGCCATCTGGGAGTTATGTGCTGCCTCCGGAGCCTCCAGAGTCAGACATCAGCGAGGCAGAGGAACAGGGGAGCCTGTTCCCAGTGCGCACATGCACAGAGCTGCCAGAAGGCAAGAACAGTTAAGACAAAAGGGACAACTCGGGATTAGGGCTTGGAGATGATTGGCCCCTCCCATAAGACATAAAGGAGGAGCAAAAGCACCTGAGCCTTTGCAGGAAGCAACTTTGTTCGTTCTGGTCGATTTAAATTCTAAAGCTCCGTTTTGACTCTGTGCCCCGTGTGGCCTTGCAAAGCTAATTGCCAATTAGGTCTTTGGCAGCGTGTCAAGGGAGATAAAGGTGGGTGCTTATCAGCCTTATTATTATTATTATTTATTGAATTTCTATACCGCCCTACTCCCGAAGGACTCAGGGCGGTGCACAGCCATGAAATAAAACACATAGATATACAAAATTTAAAATCGAATAAAATGAATTAAATAAATTTGGCTGAATTAATACCCAATTTAAAATACCCATATTTTAAAATCCATTAAAAATTTAGAATTTACACTTAAAAGGGAGAAGATTTAGGCGAGGCCAGCTTGATGAAACAAAAGCGTCTTCAACTCGCGGCGGAAGGTGCGCAGATCCGGAATCCTCCGTATCTCTGGGGGAGCTCATTCCAGATCGTCGGTGCCCCCACAGAGAAGGCTCTCCCCCTAGGGGCCGACAGCCGACATTGTTTGGCCGACGGCACCTGGAGGAGCCCCTCTCTGTGGGAGCATACTGGTTGGTGGGAGGCTGTTGATGGTAGTAGGCGGTCCCGTAAGTAACCAGGTCCCCAGCCATGGAGCGCTTTAAAGGTGGTAACCAGAACCTTGAAGCGCACCCGGAAGACCACCGGGAGCCAGTGCAGCTCGCGCAGG